AAAGAAAGAAAGAAAGAGTGATACTGGGAATTTAACCTGGGGTCTTCATACCTAGCTATATCTCCTTCCCTTTTTTTGCCAGGCAGGCGCTGTGCCGCTGAGCTAAATCCCCAGCTCCTTCCCTTTTTTTGAAACCAGGTCTCACTAATCTGCTAAATTCTCTTTTTTTAATACCGGCAATCAAACTCAGGATCTTGCATTTGTCAGGCAGGCACTGTGCCACTGAGCTATATATCTCTGGCCCCTCTGCTAAATTCTTCAGAGTGAGCTTGAATTTACAATCCTCCTGCCTCAGCCTCCCAGCAGGCAGAGATTACAGGCATGCACCACCACACTTAGCTGAAGTTCTACATCTCAACAGGATACAAGTGTACTCGTGAAGACATCAAGTTGTACACCTAAGATCTATACGATTTACTAAAAATGCTTTTCAAAAGAAAAAATGACCAGTGTCAGAAAGCCTTCATAATTATGTCCCTTAAAATAAAAAACACACATAACTTCAAAACACAGAAAAACTCAAGAGCAAACTAGAACGGATTTCCACAGAAGAGTGACAGGAAAACCTGAGGGTCACAAAAAACACAGGTAACATGCCTCACAGGGTGGGATCTGAAGCCCTACAGAAAAAAGTGAGATCTATGACAGTCCATCTGATGACCTAGACCTAATTAAGGAGCCAATGGGCAGGCCGTACACACGGTGCGGGGAGCCAAAGGGGCAATCTATGATGCGGGCGGGATGGTACTGAAAGCTATTTGATGCTCACAGCAGTGAGCAACATGAAACTTATCAATTATTTATTTCCAGAATTTCCTGTTTAATATTTTCAGGCCACTGCTGATGTGAGTAACTGAAAGCTAGAAAAGTGGTACCATGAATGGGGACAGAGGGAGGACAACTGCAAAAACGACAACATATTCAAACCCATGAATTGTAAGAAGGATCAGGAATTCATGACAATGTTTTTAAAAACATCATTAGCTGGCCATGGGTGGATGCACGACAGTCCCAATTACTCAGGAGGCTGAGCAAAAGGATTGCTTAAACCCAGGATTTAGGGGCCAGTGTGGGCAACATAGCAAGACCATGACACTTTATAAATAATAACGAAGTAGCTGGGCATGGTGGCACACACCTGTGATCCCAGCTCTTGGGAGGCTGAGGCAGGAGGGTGGGTAACAAATTATAGGGCAGCCCAGGCTACGTAGTGAATTCAAGGCCAGCCTGATCTACACAGAAAACAACAAACGAAAAAGAAAAATAATAAAGATTAATGGTACACATCTGTAATCCCAGCTACTTAAGCAGTTAAGGCAAGAGGGTGACAAAGTCGAGGTTAGCCTGGGCTATGCAGCAAAACCGTGACTCAAAATCAAGGAAAAGGGCTGGGAATGGAGCTAAGCGGTGGAGCTTTTGGCCAGCATGCACAAGGTTCCATCCCCAGTACACCAAAACAGCAAAAAGGTATTAGCTGGGCGTGGTGGGGCACGCCTGGGATCCCAGCACTTGGGAGGGTGAGGCAGGAGGATGATCTTGAGTTCAAGGCCAACTTGGGCTATATAGTGAGTTCAAGGTCAGCCTGAATTACACAGTGAGACCTTGCTTTTTTTTTTCCTTAAAGATATTAAATAATTTTTTTAAAAAAAATTTTTTGGGGGGGCGCATACTGGGAATGGAGCCCTGGGACTTTGCACCATGATACAGCCCTTACCTTTTTAAAATTTAAGTTTGAAAGCCAGGCATGGTAGCGCATGCCTGAAATCCCAGCACTTGGGAGGCTGAGGCAGAAGGATAATTTGAGACCAGCCTAGGATACAAAGTGAGCTCAAAGCCAGCCTGAACTGCATAGTGAGACCCTGTCTCAAAAAGACAAAAATAAATGAATAAATAAAAATTCATGTTTGAGCTGGGTGTGGTGCCACAGACCTGTAATCCCAGCACTTGCAAGGCTGAGGGAGGAAAATTGCGTGAGTTCAAGAACAGCCTGGACCGGGGATATAGCTCAGTAGCACAGTGCCTGCCTTGCAAGCACAAGGAACTAAGTTCGATTCCTGGTACCAAAAAAAAAATTTTTTTTTAAATAAATAAATAAAAAGAACAGCCTGGACTACACACTGAGTTCAAGGACAACCTGAACTAGGTATCGAGAGCTTGTCAAACCAAAAAACAAACAAAACAACAACAACAACAAATTATGTTTGAGATGGGGCTTCACAAAATCACTAAGTTGCAATGTTCGGGAGATTTTAAATAAATAGGAATCAGGTGTGGTGGCACACACCTATAACCCTAACACTGAGAC